GAATATATATAAATTATTTTTATATAATTTTATAAGTCTTTTTAAAATTTTCATCTAAAATTGATATATGTTACTAATTTTTTTTTTTCCTTGACTTTGGCAGTCTTGCCGATTGTTCTTTATTAAGACATCATGTTTTTCATACAAACATTTTTAAACTTAACATATTGAGTCGACATCTCGCAGTTACTTCTATAAGCACTTACAAGCGATCTGCTTGCACCAGTTGCCTAATTTCCTAAGAAAAAAGGAGATCTGGAGGCACATCCGACTACCACCCTACAATAGAATATTACTAATCTGATAATATCTTCTCGTAGAGAAGTGAAAGAAAACAAAAAAAAACTTATTATATAACAAAAAAAAAACACAGAGGTATAGGGGATAAAGATAAAAGATACAAAACAAGAAATAAAAGAGGAAAGGAAAAATCAAAAGAAAAAAGAAAAAGATATATGCAACTTTCACTACATGACTATCAGATGGTCACAATTATAAGCCTGTGTTGGGCTTTTAAAAATTATAAACTATACTAAATAGAAATAACTCTACTATTTTTCTATCTACTAGAATATTTAACAAAAACCATATAGGATAAAACTTTGACTTGAATGTAGAGAGTTGGCATCAGGTACTGATTAGTCTGGAAACAGTATTTCACAGGGTTTCAGCAGTTTGAGGCATGTGTATAAGTCATGTTTGTATTGCTATATTGTTTATACAATCCTGATTAGAAATAAATACTGTTGACTGTTTTGGTGTTTTACGTGTCGATCTTTTGGAAGGGGTAAACTGAATCACCTACTTTTTACAAAATTTTCCTCAAAGAAAAGTGAAGGTGTAAAGTGAACCAAACTATAGCTTTTGTGAGTGCTTAACCCTTTTGAGTGTTCCTTGTAAGTTTTACAGTTGTATAGAAGTAATATATCCAACACTGTTGTTTACTTTATGAAAAACTTTTGGTTTTCACCAACTACTTCTTCTATGGTTCCGAAGCTCTTTTAAACTATCATCATAAAGTGATAGCTTCTTTTTTAACTCTATTTCAATGCCCACTATGCATGCCCAGTGCTTCAGAGAAGTTTTCATAGAGTTTAATATATTAACTATATCAATTTTCTGTAGTTCGACATTTTGAAAAGTTTGGTTCAGATGATCATCAGAAAGAGTGTGATTGATTACTCACAAAAAGTGGTAATAATAAATATAGATATATGTTACTAATAAAACTTTTTTATTTTTTAATTAATTAAGAAAAAATTTTTATAATATTATAAATAAAATTATTTATCTATTATAGTAAAATTTTGAATTATTATATTATTTAAAAAAATATACTTGTATATATGATAAAGTTTTCTTAGGTTGGTTAAAATTTTTTTAGATAGTACAAAATTAAAGAATTTGATTAGTTAATTTACATAAGCCTATAAATTAATTTTATTATATAATTTTCTATTCTAATGTTTAAAAATTGATATCTTAATAAGTTTTTACTTAATTTTAATAATTTTGATATTATTAAAATCAGAAAGATCTATTCTACAACTTTTACTTAATAATTCAAATTAGTTTACTTAATATAGTTTTTTATAAATTTAAATATAAAAAAAAATTATTACTAAGTTTATATATAATTTTAAAATAGTATATTCACTCTATCTTTAAAACTCCTAGTACTGTTTTCTTTTTAAGTTTTTGAAGCATTTTACTTTATTTTTCTTTAAAAATATCTTGATTCAGATCTTTGTATTATTCTTCTTTTATAAATTCTTTAGGTTTATATATTTTTTTTTACCTTTCTTTCTAAATATTTTGGTTAAAATATTGTGATCTAAACTGGTTTTAATAATGTTTTTTGTTTTTTTTAAGTACTTTTTCTGGTTTGATAACTAAATTTTATTTTTCTTCTTTATTTATGAGCCTATTTAGTTGAATCTTTTTTGTCAATTTGCTCAAAAAGCTTATTAGTATTTGTTCTGTTTTTTATTAGTCATTTGGCATCTTCTTTCTATATTGTTTTTTATTTCTTTTTATTTTTGACCTTCTAGCTTATTAATTCTTCTTGTTTAAAGTATTTTTCACAACTTTTTAAGTTTTTAATCAGCTTTTGTATTCAAAATTATGCCAAGTCTATATATGTTTTGTATTGTTCATTAATATATCTAATTTTTTTATTTAAATCATCTATATTATCTTCTAAAAAACCCAGTTTGATATTTATTTTTTTTATATTAAATCATCTTTTCAATTGTGTAAGAGTTTTGTCTAATCAAAATTCTTTTGTTTTCTTATTTTTTCTATTTAAGATATTTGAATTTTTTTTTAAAAATATATTTTTTTATCATTATAATATTACTATTGCTAATTGTATTTTATAATTCATTTAACTAGTCTTTTTTCTTAGTATCTTCATTTATTTGTAAAAAGCATTGTAGATCTTGGAGACTGATTTTTTTTTCATATTGAATTGAGTTTTTGTCTGTATTTTTTCTAGTCTTTTTTAAATACTTTATTATAAAAAAAATTATTTTTGTATAATTCTTTTTTCTTATTTCTGTTACATTGTATAATGTGATTAAATAGTTTAATTCTATTTTTGCTATAACTGTCTTGTGGTTACTATTTGTACAAGTATCTATTTTTTAAAATTTAGCTTTGTAAAGCCTATTTTTCAGTTTTTCAGTAACTTATATATAATTTATTTTTAATCAGATTCATATTTAGTTTATAAAAACTTTTTTGTATTTGGATTGATTAATCTAAGTGTATTACTAAACTCTTATTTTTTCAACTAGTCAAGCAATAGGTTATGTTTTGCTTGTTTTTTCTTTTAGTTTAGTAGTTAATTTAGGTTTATATTTAGGGAACAGATATTTCCACACCTGATTTTGGTATTTCCACATCTTTGTAAATAGTCAATTAAATTATATGAAATTAGATATATTATATTATATGATTTGATTGAAATTTTAGATAACACACTTTAAAATTGGTAATTCTGACTAATCAGATTTTTTATCAGGTATAGAATATAATAAAAAAACTTTGTATAAAATCAAACCAAATAAAATCACATTATAGTTAAGGTTAGGATTAAAGCAATATAGCATTTATTAGTAAAAATTCATAAAGAACACTTTTAATTAGCCTGCAGAAGGTGATTTTCTAATTATAATTCAGAGCTATTCTCATTTTTTTGTAAAAAAAGTGATTTGATTTTTACATTGCACTAGTCTAGAAATTCATGTTGAAATTACAAGGATGTACCAATTTTTGTAAATGTGCTAAAGAGTTTGGCTCAAGTAGAATCAGAAGTTATATAACATAACACTAGTATTATATTTTAGCTTTGCTATAACTATAATACTATTAGTTAACAGATAATAAATCAGTGTGCAATGATTACAGTTTTTAATTATATTAATATGAACTTGTATAATATAGAAATTTATAAAATTGTTTTAACATTTTGGTAGAATTAGATAACTAAATTGAATATAACATTCAAACTTAAAGGCTTAAATGTTTAAAATATAAATACTAAATCTGTATAAGAATAAAACATATTCGAAAGTGGCAGAGATATTATATATTTATTAAAACATTTAGTGCACATAAGTTAATATCTAAAAATGAGTAACTCTGGAAAACCAAATTTTGGACTTTAGGCTTATAAGTTAATAGTCTTAATTTTGAAAATCTGAATAATTGATCTAGAGACTAGAACTGCCTAATCATTTAACCATTTAATTGTATTACTTATTTACTTTAGCTGGTATTAGGTTAATTTGGGCATGAATAACAAAATTTGGTCCAGAATTATAGAAAAATTTTTATACGATTAAATGGTTCCAATCTTTAGTTAAATCTGGTAAGTCATAAATTTAAGAGTCAAGTCTGGTTTTCCTATTGCATCATAATTATAAATTACTCTCATTATTAATATTAAAATATATGAATTTATTAACAAAATTATATAAGACTACTTTGTGATAATTATTGAATGATGGATTTTGATCGATATAAAGAATGATATGTATTATAAAAACCATTATTCTATAATCATTATAACTTCCATGTTATGATGTGGTGTTATTAAATCAGAGTTTATTTAATTTAAAATATGTAATGATTATATTTATTGGTATATATGAAATATAAAAGTAAAAAATTGTATTAGAAGAACTATTATTTGCACATATTAAACAAATTTCACTGCTATAACAATTAAACCTACCAATATTAAATATAACTACAATGCAATGCCCCTCTGCTGGTCAGTTTTATAGTCGTGATTCACTAATCAAACATGTACAAACATTTGGTGCTTTAAATAGTTATAGCATATCTATTATAAGATCAAACCAAATAAAGTGTATCTAGGTTGTGATAGAGCTGAACATTATAGAAATTGGTCAAACAATACAAATAAAACATATAAAAAACTCATAGGTTCTAGATTAATAGGCTGCCCTTTCTCTCTTCATGATACTAAAAAAGATAATATATAGATTTTGTCTATTAATAATCTACATCATTGTCATAAACCATCACAAGATGCATCATCTCACTCATCCTTATGAAAACTAAATAAGCAGGCACAGAAACAACTAAATGAAATAACAAAAGCTGAAGTCTGTCCATAGGAGATACTGTCTTCACTTTGTTAAAATGATCTTTCAATTTCTATAACGTTACAAGATGTATATAATATTCACAAAAAACTTTGTTGAGAAAACTTGAAAGGTCATACACCTATTCAAGCACTTGTAGAGAAGCTTAACAAAAGTCAATTTGAATATAACTACTAGTACAATGCTGATGGACATATAACGCATTTTTTTTTTGCTTATCATAAATCTATAGAATTGATACATACTTATTCTTCTGTATTGTTAATGAATTGTACTTACAAGACTAATAAATTTAAGCTACCTCTTCTTAACATAGTGGGTGTAACTAGTTTTAATACTATATTTTTTGCATGTTTTATTTTCATGAAAGATGAAAAAAGAGAGAATTATTTGTGGGCACTTACCCAAGTGTCTTGCTTATTTGATAACACTGAGCCACCTAAAGTTTTTGTAACAGATTGCAAATTAGCACTTATACATGCAATCCATAATATATTTCCAAACTCAAAAAATATTCTTTGTAGATGGCACGTGGAAAAAAATATCTTAACTAAATGTAAGGGTCATTTTTGTACTAATCAAGAATGGGAAGCATTTTTTCATTGTTAGACAGAAATTATAAAATCAAAGACTGAAGAAGAATTCTCTATTCGATAGGCAGAATTGTGCACAAAATATAACAAAAATTCACTAACTATTAGGTATATTCAAGAATCATGGTTGCCATTAAAAGAAAGCTTTATTAGTACATGGGTTGATCATTATCTTCATTTGGATAATACAACAATATCTCGTGTAGAAGGTTCTTATTTAGTATTAAAAAAATACTTTCAAATTTTAATGGGTAACTTAAATATAGTTTATGAGAAAATTTCACTATTATTAGAAAATCAACATCATGAAATCAAAGCAATGATTGCTAAAGATAAAACCTGTATTGCACATGCCCAAAATATCTCTTTTTATAATAAGCTCATTATTAAAATTTTAGCATTTTCCTTAAGAAAAATATATGAACAATATCTTAAAGCTCTACAAGCAACTTTTGCCAACCTACTTGAACCTTGCACTAGTACTTTCATTGCATCCATGGATCTTTCATATGTACACATTATCTAAAAACATCTTAAAACAGACCAATCATTAAATCTTAATAATATTCATCATCACTGGTGGATCAAAGACAATCAACTACTCCTACAAAGACAAAATAGAATTAATGATCATTCATTACTACAATTATTGCAAGACTTTAATCAGCAATACGATACTTGGTCAGCTTCACAACAAACAGCAGCTTATCATAAGCTGTCTGAGTTAATCAAAGAACCAATGCTTTTGTTAGATCCAATAATACAACAACATACCAGAGGACAACCAGCTGGCTTATGGAACAAAGCTCAAACCTCTATCCAAAGGATTTCATTGGCTTTTGAATTAGAATAGGCTAGAACAGGCAGCAGAAGATATAGTATATGCAAAAAAATTGGTCACAACAGTAGAATATGTTCTGATCATAACATAAATGCAAATTAAAAGGATTATAAGTAATAATTAACTGTGCAATACTAAAATATACATATGTGCTATATTATGCTTAAGTAATGAACTGCTAGATTCAGCTATAAAACAATATATACTTATCAATTTGTTAGCTTTAGTAATAATGACAATTATAAATTTTTTTGAAGTCTTTTAAACAAAACTTGAAAAATTTGCATTAATAATTCAACAAAATAGATGAAAAAAAGTATTGGTATAGAATAAAAGGTATAACACTTAAGCTTATTTATTATACTCTTAAAATAACAAATGCAAACATATTATTTTGAGCATAACCAAGTATCTTATTTCTAGATAAATATAAATTTCTGATTTTGATTGTTATTATTGTATATTATAACTACTAAATTAACTAAAAATTAATTTAATACAGCTTTAAGTTTTATAAAAAACCAATATCGAAAATAATAATTTACAAATTTGCTTAGTTTCACTTCATTATTTATCCAAAAAGTGATAAACTACATAGCCAAGTTTCTTATTATTCATTTATTAAAAGATCAAGTTTCTGATCATCTTTCTTGACAATTTAACAGCCTAATTACAAATAAACTTTAGATCTACTAAATGTTTTATTTTTTCAAAATACTGTAAGATTTGTAAAAATAAAGACATATGTATATAAATAAGAAATAATACATATCTGTGTAATATTTATTGATTAATTTGCATAAAAGTTTGTTTTTATATGATACATGATAAATCAAATCTCTTTGTTGGTTTAATACAAATATAGCATACTGTATTTCTTTGATCCAAAGCTTTAGAATGGTTGTCTTCTACTTGAAATTTCCTAAAGATTTACTCTACAGCTATATATAACTGATTTTTTGTTATGTCTATATAATCAAGTTCATCTTAGAACTTCATAACACTAGTAAAGTTATTGATCTTAATTCCTAGTAATTATTGATTTGTTAGATTTACTGATACATATTTATATTTACGTAATGTGCACATGATTAAGAATGTGGAAATACCAAAATCAGGTGTGAAAATACCTGTTCCCTATATTTACTATTATATTGAAATCTCTTATAACTACTATTTGAGTTCTTAGTGATCTTTTAATATATTAAATAAAAACTTTTCTGCAAATCCATTACACAAAAATTAACTAAAAAATTGCTTATCTAAAAACACTTATATCTTTTATTTTACTAAAACAACTTGTCCTGTTATCTTAAGTAAACATGTTTAGCTTAGCAATATACATATACTTTGAAAATATTATAAATCTAGCTTTTAAACTCATAAAGAAAACTGTACTAATAGTCTTTGGTCTTTAGTTTTAAAAAATTAATTTTTTTGCAATTTCTATTGTAATAACTTATTTTACACATTTAATTAAAGTTGTAATACATATTTGTTTAATTAAAACAAGCTCTAAAGAAAAAATTTTAACTTAATATTGGCTAAAATACAGCTAAATTCATCTTTTACTCTTTTGCAAATTTTTTTTTCTACTTTATATTCTTATCTTATTTTTTTTTTTCTCTTATACATTTTTTATATAACTATATTATTATTTTCCAATTTATACTTTATTAATTTATATCAAAATTCTGTAACCCATCTATTAATAAAATTTTACTCAACACAATTTAGTCTTTTTATATTTGGTTGTTATTAATTGTATATAGTAATTTGTATTGCAAACCTTATTTGTACTAGTATCTGAATTATATTTGTAATCTCAATCATTTCAGTTATACTCCAATGTTATTCCTGTAACATCCTAAATATACAACTTTTGTTTTTATCTACTACTTTTATAAAATTAATTATTTGACTAAACTCTTAACTTGAAAAAATTTTTAAGTTTTTAGTACTATTTTTATTTAACTTGTCAAAATTTAAAAATGCATATATTAACCAATCAATAGTCCAATACTGCAGATTATGACTATTTTTATTAAAACTTTTCTAACAATTTTGGAATTGCTCTTTATAAAGAAGAAAATAGCAATAATACTCATTCTATTCTTTCTAAAGTCAATCCAACTTTTTGTTTAACTAAAAACTTTAGATTTAACAAAATTACTCATTTCTTTTAAGCTCCTACCTTCACCTCTGTGATTAATTGTCTTTGTGGCAAATATTACATCAAATTTATTTCTACTACTAATACTAATCATCCAAGTTACTAAATTTACTACAATTTATATTAACAGCAATGCTAAAAAGAATCTTAACAAACCAGCCCAACAACTTATATTTAATTTTTTCTTCTTAACCAATAGTATCTTTTTATCTTCTATACTAATATATACTAATATATTTGTTCCAAATGCTTTTTTCTAATTATTTGTACTAAGAGAAATGAGTACCACTATTCTACTAAAAAATATATCATCAAAAACAGTAAAGTTTAATATCTTATTTATATAACTATCTTATCTCAACATGAAGTTAGCTTTTCTTAAGTCAAGAAAAATCTTACTTAACCTTTTCAAAACATCTTATATAAATCTTTTCAAACCACTAACCCTTTCACTACTTCTTCTCACTAAATCTTAACTACTTTTAACTTTATTGATTTCTTCTTTTCTATGATTATTAATATTAATTTTATCTCTAACTAATCTTCTATTACTAATACTCTTAACACTTCTAATCTAAATCTTAACTAGTTTAGCAATACTAATAAATCTGAAAATATTTCTAATAAATTTCTTTCTCAATTCTATTCTAGTATTCTTAAACTAAAAACTAATCCTACATATAACTGAGTTACAAATTTTTCTATTACTAAAGAAATGCAACTTAATAAAAAATTACAAATTTCATTCTCTCTCTAACTTTTTATTTTTCTTAAAAAATTTCTCTATGATTTCTATTCTAACAAAGAAATTAAGCCAATTACTGCTACTCAACCTGCACTCAAAACTTCATTTTACTATATTATCGGTATTATGGCTAGGCAATAGTCTAAATTTTTAACTGATCTTATTTATAACAGTAATCCTAATATTATCAAAATTGCTATTATCTTTTTTGTTTTTTTGAATCTATCTTAAAAAATCTTATTCTTAAATTAATACTATTCTCTTCATTAAACTTAACTATCTCAAAATCTTTGCTTTACTAGTTACTATTCCTCCATATATAGCTTATAATCATCTTTAATTCTGTTTTAATTTTGCATATCTTTACCTTTTTTTATCTAATAACTACCAATCTATCAACTACTAAAAATTTGCTGAAAACCTATAGCTTAGACCTAAAAGATTTAAAATTAAATCTTTTACACAAACTACAAATCTTAAACAAAAATATTCACTATTAAGTCAGATGTCAAATTCAATATCAAATGCTTTTCAAAACACTTTTTTTTAAAAGATTTTGTATTTCTTTACTAAAAAACTTTCTTAATTACTTTAATTCCTAGTTTGAAACCTACTATCCTTTTTATAATAAACAATTTTCTTTAAATATTAATAAAGAAAAGTTTGCATCTTTTTTAGAATCCAATTATGTTAACATTTTATTCTTCAACTTTTCAAATACCTTTTAAAAACTTATATATTTAAAAAACCTAATTTATTTCAGAAGTAACATAAAAAAGCATATTATGTTGCTAACTTTTATTGTCTTACTTGTATTAATAAAGATTATCAATACTATGATAACAAAAAATTCTATGACAGTACCAAGCTATTTAATAATATTTTAACCAAATCTTGACTATTATTTTCTTCTCAAGATGATAAAACTTGAATCTATCTAACTTTTAATACTACATTATTTTACAAAAATAAAGAACATATTGTTTCAATTGACTAACACATTTCTACCAAAGCTGGTAAGCTAGCTGACCAAGCTAAAAACTTTGTTTGTAAACAAAACAAAGTTAAAACTAATTTTAAACATTGTAACTACTACTTCTATTGCTACTTCTCTTTCTACTACTAAACTGATGCTAAAAATCATAATATACAGTTTCTGTCCAAGAAGAAGGCTATTAACTATTTACAAAAAACATTATCAATACCAAATTCCTAGCTCAAATTATTACATACTTTGATGTTATAAAAAACCAAAAGCCAATCTATTTACAAATTGTTAAATATTTTAATAATACTACTTATCCAACAGCTAAAAAATTTTTATTAAAAAAATTCAATCTTGACTTTCAACCAGTTTCTATTCTAGACTTACTTTTTTACAATCTTTTTTTAAGTTCTTTGTCTTCTATAACCAACATTGAAGCAGCCATATTCATTGCAGTTAATAAGGAAATAAAATAAGTAGACAAATGAACAAGCCTATTTATATAAAAGTCTAGAATAATAATAGTTAAACCTAATGTACAGAGCAGACTAAGATATCTTGCACAGCTGTAAGAGCTAAGCATATGTTAATCAATCCTGTAGAAGACAACTTTAAAAGATCATTTATAATATCTTTAGTTTCTTATAATCTTCATATATGCTTTAGCAAATTTTTTCTTTACTATAATTTACTATTTCTTTTTTATAATCAAACTATTCAAACTTTACTCCAACATATTGACAAACATAATGATAAAAAAAACTGTATCTAGTATCACATTTCTGTTAACACATCTTATTATTAAACTCATATTTATCTTTCTAATAATTTTCTGTTATCTAATTACATTATTATTTTCTCTTATTTTCTTTTTTTTATTTTTTTTTTTATTTTTTTTTTTAATGTTAAGGTGAATAATTGCAACTTAGGAGTTTATTGATAATCAGTCAGCATATAACTATTATATACAACAGCTACAGAGGCAATCATAGAAAGAGTGTACAACTAGCCACTTGTACAACTTTAG